CGCTGCTCGGGGTGGGCTGGGCAACCTATCATCGGGGGGTGAGAGCGACTTGTGTTGTATCACTTTATTTTGTATATTCTTTTATTACTTTTTTCCCTCTTCCATTACTGTTCTATTAAACTGTCTTTAACTCAACCCATGAGTTTTTTCCTCTTTCCCCTCCTTTTCTCCCTCTTCTCCCTACCCTGCTGTGGGGGGAGTGAGCAAGCAGCTGCACGGTCCTAGTTGCCCAGTCCTGGCTGGGGCTAAATCATGACAGTGATAAACCAAACTAAAGGTTTCAGCACAGAAGTGGGATTTTTTTTTTTTTTTTTGGAAGCTGTGAGTACCAGAAATAGAGCATTTATGAAGAAAGTGATAAATTTAGAGGAGGACATTTAAGATGACCACATAGATACAATCTCACACAGGACCTAGCTGAATCTATGTGTAGATCCTGCAAACCTCTTCCGTTCCTAGTGCAGATCCCCACAACAGTCTCTACCTGCCAGGTGGTGATGCTGTAAGACGTACCAGGGGACTGCACTGCAAGCTCTACTATTACTTAGACTTCATCACTCTTCTAAAATATACTCAAATATATTTACAACTATGCTTAACAGTATTAGCATAAATCACAAAAACTGAATGGCGCACAAAAATAAATGAACAAAGTCTGTTTGGGGAGGCTATCTCTTCAGTTATTTCTTATCATGTTTGTTCATTTAATGAATTTTGCCAATTAGCAATTAATTTGCAGTAGGTCTCCTAGTCATTAGTGTGAATTAGCAGGGTTTTGTTGGCAGAATGTCTTGAACATTAAATAAAAATCCTGTATCATTCAAAACCTCAAGGGTACTCTGCGGTGAGACCCTCTATAGAAATGGAACTGTTCAGGACCACCCCCCAGTCTCTCGACCCCTGCCATGAAAGTGCGGTGGATGCTGTGTTCATCTATTTAAGCTGCATGCCCCAGTTCCCGAGAAATGCCTTCCTCCTTCAGGGGAGAGCAGACCGGGTCAGTACCGGTGTATTCTGTGCCTCACAGGCCAAGTGCGTGCCAGCAGAGGCTGTGCATCCCAGGATCAGGCAAGGCTTCTCTCTGCATAGGTAGGCTCTGGCACTGTGGCTTCGCGGTGTTGATTCACACAATTTTCTGTAGCTCTTTATTTATTTTTCTCTTGGTACACACAGTTCATGTGTTTAACGCAGGTTGTTTATAGCAAGGACAAAGGATTACAGTCCTTAAATCAAGAGCGACGTTGGTGTAATTATAAGCGCAGGCTGGTGCTGCAAAGAGGGCTGTAGGGAGAGGCTGTCAAAGGAGAAGAGCATCCAAAATATAGTAACCTCAAAAATCCCGGCTAATCAGTTTTCTGACTGGAGCAATCTGTTTCCCAGGTATTATTATTATATGGGGACTTTAAAGATAATAAATAACAATAATAGTCTAGTATAAGGAAGGAAAGAAAAGGGCAAATGGCAATCACCTCGGAAGCTGTGGTTGCTCGCTGGAGTTCTCCGAGGAACATAATTTTCCTCAGCCCCTGCAGAGGACTCGATCCATGACACCACCAAGAACATCCCAGGAGCTGTGGTGTAAGCAATGAGATTGCTCTGAGTGGCGTTTTCATTAACGCAGAGATACAGCCTGCAGAAACCACATTTCCCAGCACACACATCTCAAGCCAGAGAGCTGCTCTCTGTGCCGTTGGCTGGGACCTGTGGTTCCTGTGGATTGCCTCATTCCTCGGGAACAAGGGTAGGTGATACACCACTTCCATCACTCTGGTGCATCTCTGGACGTATACTTAAAAGACCAAAACAAAGAAGGGCTTGCTGAAGTAAGCTTGGGCTTATCAGAGCCATACAGAGTATGAAAGCTTCTCTCCTGCAACAAGGCAGCCCAGCTAACGGACCCTGGCTAACAGATTATCAGCAGCATTTGACTAATAGACTGCTCATTTAGTTTTAATACATTTTGCATAGAGAGCAATCAGCCTTCATCAGTCTTAGAGATGAATTGGCTTAGCCAGCTAAATTCTAAAGATATTAGTCCGACAGCAGCCACATAAATCATAACATTTTCTTAATGATGGTAAAATTAAAATATACTCTTGCTTTGAGAAACCAATGAAGCCTTCCTGTTTGCAGGCCAGATCCTCCTGCCTGAATTAAAAGGAAGCTTAATTGATGTGTTTTTAAACTAAAATCACAGCCCCACTCCTCCTGAGCATCTCTAGTGTTCCTTTCTTTGAAGTTAAACTAATTTTTCCTGCCTCTCCCTGCTCTATCCTCTAATCTTCAGGAGTGTCAGTGAAGACCTTGGCTTGGTATTCATTGACCAGACTCCTGCGAGACGTGAGCAGGACATGCACAACATCACAGTTGAAGGCTTTGCCAGGTTAATCGTTTGTGTTGCCAGTAGTTCCTTGAGCTAATGGAAGCCTCCCAGGAGAAAAGCTTGTGCTCGTCCTCTAACCAACAAACCAAGACCTCCTGTCTGTCCACCTAGCCTAGCCAAGCATGAACATTTCCTATTTCTTGTCCTTTGTTCCTGAAGCTGGCGTGAAGTCCCGCATGCTTTTGCCAGCTGCTGTTTAACAGAAGGGAATCCTGCCTTTAGCTAGAAAGACTGTGATGTTGGTGTTGGGGCAGGGGTGAAGACAGAGTCTCAGGGCTCAGATAATCACACAAGTATTGTGTGTCCAGAGCTCTTCCAATGAGGACACGTAGGACTCTCTTAACTCTTTGTGTCATACAAGTTAAGGGTAGCACAGTCTGACTAGGTCAGCCCATACCTCCCCCAGCTGAGGCAGAGCTGGGTACGTTGCCTGTCTTAAATGTTCTGTGGGATTCCTCATGGGGCAGAACAGTTCTCTGGACCAAGGCCTCTTGCTCTCAGGAATGTCTTCCTGATGCTCCAGGCTAACCATTCTGTCTCCTGCTAAGCTGTGTCAAGTGACCTTTCCTTCCTTGGCATCCTGCTGCTAGCTGCAGCATGGCACCCACCAAATAAACAGAACCATCTCCTGTCATAGTGCTCTGCGCTTCCTTATCTTACAGCTTTACACTGTCCTGCTGCTTTTCAGCAGAGTCTGTGCAGGTAGTCTGTGCAGCAGAGCTCCTGGCAAACCCTATTTTAGTAAGGTTCTGCTCAAGTTAAGACTCTGGACCAAAGACTTGACTGAAATACAAATACCTGATACCTTTGGCAGCCTTTCTTCTGCTAAAACAATCATTTTGTGATCAACTGTAAAGATTCAGTCTCTGAAATACGAAATTCACTGCTATACAGAAACCCCAGTGCTAAGCCAAAGACCTTTAGGGTATAAAAAAGGACAGAAGTGTCCTCTAGTCCCTACCAGTGCTGGCTGTTTGCACGAGGGCGAGCTTTCATTTTTCTTCTTTTGGATCCTCGGGATCAGGTTGGTTTCTTAGAAATCCTCCCCTAATAGTCCTTGTGGTCCTTTGCTGGAGTCTTAATTGTGCTTCTTAGCGTATAGTGTGAAAGGCCGGTTCCCCTGGGGTGCTCTGTGGTGTCTGTACTCTGTTTTCTTGGCTGAAATGGTGTGGAGAAGGCAGGTTTTCCCTGCAGGTCCTGTGGAGCTGCTAATGGGACATATTCAGCCATAGCTGAGTTAAGGTTAGTACTTCCAGCATTTGGGTATGTGCCTGCAGTGCTCCTGCCTTCAGAGGAACTAAGAAGTTCCAGATGGTGTCTGTTGTTGTCATTTTGGTGTTAGGGCAGTGAACACTGTGGAAAAGACGGGCCTGATTTGGGAGAGTGACATTGGGCTGCCTGTTTTGGGAAACTTCAGCCTGTGGCTTGCGGGAAGTAAGGTGACCGTGGGACCCTCCAGTGAGCTCAACTCAGAGGCCAGTTTTAAGGTGGAGTGAAGAATGGCTCTTCCTTCAGGTCATTCCCAGCCCAGCGTTGCAGGCTCGTGGCTGGTTTGGCTGAGGTTGGGGCCACTGATCAGTAAGCGGTGTGCAGGATGGCTGCGGGATGCTCTCACCTCTCGGCTATTCAGTGGCCTGCTGGGCAGCTTGGGCTGGTGATGGTGATCCCTGAGTAGAGGCGTGAGCTCACCTTCCCAGGGTTGGATATGGAGGGACAGCCTATGACTGTGTGCAGTAAGGCGTTTGACGCAACGGTGTTGAGAATCATTTCTTTCCTGGTCTGTTTTCTAGCATTGCTGAGGAAGGAATGTGCTTTCATTCGTTCTTGGATATATCCGCAGGGCTTGGAAACCTGTTCTCCTTGCCATATTGTGCCAGCTGGGTTTGTGCTGCTTGTAATCTAATAAATGCTTGGTCTGAGCAGCTAGCACTCCTGCTAGAGCCCAAATGAATGCAGAGGAAGGACCCTGCTAAGTGTATGCATTCTTCCTCTCCTGGCCAGCTCCGATTCCCTTTCATAGCTCACATCTGATGCTTCCTCTCTCACCTAGCCCCTTAGCTCCGATGTAAATGTGTGTTCACACTTCCGCCAGTCAAGTAACTGTGCTCTCTCTGTCTCTCCCCTTTGTTGTAAAGCCCGCTCTGTAAATGAATCCCACAGGTCTGGGGCTCAGCAGGTAAAAGGAGAAGTGAGTCTGTTAGCGCATGAGTCTAATCAGGCCGGCTAAAGCGAATAAAGTAGGGCAGCGTTGCACATTAGCCGCTGTGTAAATGAGCCCTTTGATGGGCTGGGCACCGCGGGAGAGGGTTTGAAGCCAAGAAGAACTTTTGTTGTTAATTCAGTGACACATGGAAACTGTAAAACAGCGTGTCTTGCACACACACGAGAGAGAAAATAAAAGCCCTCACGACCGGGCTTTTCAATACCTGCCCTCGGACCTAGTCTGAAAACTTTCAGCCCCTGTCTCCCTCTCTTACCACTTGATTTTCCTTTCTCTCCCTTTCTTTTTTTGTTCCCCCTGCACTATAAAAAGAAAAGCTCTCTTGCCTTTTGAACTAGACGGCTGTGAGTGAGGGCTATCTCTGAGCTGTGTGGCTCTGTTACCTTTGTGTTCCAGATGAAACTGCCAAGCTCGGTGGGACAGAAGAAGATTAAAGCCCTGGAGCAGATGCTGATGGAACTCGGAGTAGGTGAGTAAAGGGGGCACGCGAGAGAGAAAGAGACACACAGAGCTAGCCTTTGTTCTCGAGATGGGCTATTTTTTCCCCTAGTAATACAGCCAGTTTCTTGAATAACAGTATGTGAATGGTTTTTAAAATATTTTATGTGTTTAAAAAAAAAAAAAAGAAAGAGAGAGGGTAAAAGCCAGAACAAGATGCACAGGGTTTTTTTTTTTTTTCCTCCCAGTAGAAAAATGTTTTAAAAGAGCCTTTGTTTCTCTCTTGTTTGGGCCTTTTTAAACATCAAGAGAGGCACCACAGTATTAGGAAGGCAAATCTCAGCCTTGCCGGGAGAGGTACTTCTAAGTGTGTTAGTGACCACGGCATGCGCATTGTTCAGGGCTGCCCTGTCTTGCTTTCAAGCTTCGTTTCCTCTTAATTTACTGCTCACGGTGGCAAGTCCAAAATGCGTCTGGGACTGTTCATCCCCCCTTTATAGGTTGCATGCTGTGTGAAAATCTGGAGCATCTCTGCTGAAAGGCGAGTAAACACACATCCCTCACTCTTGAACTCCAGTGTCTTAGCAGCAGAAAGAAGGGTTCACTTAACATGTACAATACCCGCTCGTAGCTAGAGGGGAAGAAGTGCAGCCCATGGCTAGCTGCTGCCCTCCATGCAGCGGGTACAGTTTGCCGGTACTACAGGTCTCAGCATGCAGTGCCCCTTGATTAGACACCTGATGATCCCCTTTCCCCCCACTGTGGCTGGGGGGAATTTTTAAAAATAGAAAAAGGAAAAAAGAAGAAGAAAAAAAAGCCTTATTGGTGATTTACAAGAGATTACGGAGCCTGCTCACAGCACTGACTTCTGTTAACTCTTGTTAGTTTTTTGGGCCAACTAGCTTACGACTTGGTTCGTTGTCTCAGAGACTGTGTGCAGTTCTGAAGGCCTCCTGTGGCTGGTGAAAGCCGCTCAACCGGGGTGGTTTCACCTTTCTGCTTTAAAACTAAGGGAGTTACCATCTTTGCTTGCTAGGGAAGCCTTGGGCAAGGATGTGAGTGCTTCTTAAAGCTCACTTTCCATGAGGGTAACGAGGGGTTCCTGACTCCCCACTCCTGCCTTACAAAACACACATATCTTGAGGGCTTCCTGGTGCTCCAGCCCTGCTGTGCCTTAGAGTGCAGAAATGCACCTGGGCTTTGTGTGGATGAACACAGTGCTAGCAGGAAGGGGTCATGTGGACAGCCCTGCAGACAGGGGGCTGCTGTTGTATAGCAGGGCAAACGCACAGAGCTTCATCCTTTTCTTCTCCAGAACATGCGGCTCTTCCTTGGTCTGTGTGCGTGTGATGGGCTGCAGCAGAATGCATGGTGTGGGGAGGTGATCTGCCAGCCCCTGCTACAAGCAGTTCAGGTCTGCATTAAAACACATCTGTAACACAGCAGCAGAGCAATTCTCTGCCTCAGTCCTACCCTGGGACAGGCAACAAGAGAGACAAGGGAGCTCACCCTGTCCACCCCTTGTTGGTGAAGGTGTAGGGCACAGCAGGAGCTCTTCTGACCTCTGCAGCAGTGTGTGGTAAGGACTTCTTCCCAAGACTGAGCTCCCTTCATATGATCTGGTGGGTAGCCAGGTTTAGTTGACTGGTCTGATCTGTGTCTTCCATCATCCTTCACTTGCTGAGTCCTGGACTTTGCAGGTTCACCCTTAGTTCGTGGCCAGAGCCAAAGGACAGCCTGGAAATTCAGGTCTCCAACCCTTAGGGGTGCCGCTTGCTAATGATCCATGTGATGTGAGTGTGGCTCCTGGCATATGTTTGTGGGAGTGAATGGGCAGCCAGGACCTTTCTAGGGATCTTCCATTGTAGGGTTGCAGGTCTGGATGTATAACAGAACCCCTTTTTCTCCCTAGATCTCAACCCTATGCCCACAGAGGAGATCGTGCAGATGTTCAACGAGCTGCGGAGTGACCTGGTGCTGCTGTACGAGCTGAAGCAAGCCTTTGCCAACTGTGAATATGAGCTGCAGATGTTACGGCACCGCTATGAGGCCCTGGCCAAAGCTGGTAGTATTGGCCCCCTCAGTGCGGAAGGTGCCCATCCAGATGGCCAGGCAGGGCTCGGCATCGAGGAGAGCAAGGGAGATGCCAAGGACCAGATCATTGATGTAGTAGGAGCACCACTGACCCCCAACTCGGTGAGAAGGAAGGTTGGGGGGGCAGAACAGGGAGCACTCAGGTCTCCGACGCAGATGCCCTGACGAGCGCTGGGGATGCTGCCCTGCTCTCCCTCCAGGCGTGCGCGTCCAAGGGAGCACAGCACGCCTGTTTCCCCCCAAGTCCCAGTGCTGCTCTCTGGGCTCGTCTCCTGTGCTGGACAGTGTTCTTGGTGCTATAGGTGGGGTCAGCAGGGCTTTGTACATCCTGCATGCAGGCAGATGGCTTGACGTGGGTGCCACCATGGGCCAAAGCAGCAAAGCTTTGGGTGACGAGAGCTTGCACTATGGCAGCAACAGTGATGCCAGTACAGCTGCAGGCCTGAGGCATTTTCCTTCTAGACACAGCCCCCTAAGGGTTGCTCAGCAGAGGGAAGCCAGTGGGGAAAGCAGTCTTGAGATGATGAGCCGTGACCTGCCCGAGTCCCTGGAGTCAAGCAGTAGCCCTGCCTGGGGCAGGAGGCTTGGGAAGGAGAGGGGTGTTTGAAGAGCAAAGGGGTGTTTTTATACCCTACTTCCAGTGCCGAGAAAGGAAAGCTAGACCTGGGGGTTCTTCCACTGCGAACCCTGTGACAATGTCCTGTGCGTGTACTTCTGCAGGATGCGAGTCACCAGCCTCTCCTCCTGGCCTCCGTGAGGGCGGGATGCCCAGCCCCTCACTACTGCCTCCGGGCCAAGGGTATGCCTGGGGATCAGCTGAGGTTGCTTTCCCTTCTGTGCAGTCCCCTGGCACAGCTGAGCTGAACTGTCTGATAAAAGCTGCCCGTCTCCGCACAGTGGCATCCCCGACGCCTCAGACATACTGCCCCTGCTAGCAGCACAGACCTTTACTTTCTGAAATGTATAATGTATTGCAGGATATTGAGAACACCTTGTCTGTCAACGGCAGAGGCGACACGTTAATCTGGACTTGAGTAATGTCCTATTTGATTGTGACAATATGGAGTCTTAAGGAAGCGTTCCGCTGAGACAGGTTCATTTTTGTAAAGGAGTCTTCTGAATTTTCTTTTCCCTACTGCCTTCAATCTGAAATCTCACCCCTCCCTGCGGTCCGGAGTGTCCCGGTTTGCAAACTTTTCGGGCTGATTCACAACACATTTGCTCTCCCTTGAGACTTTACTTGTTGGGAAGGTGGGAGAGGTGGTGGGTGATGGTGGTGGTGGTGGTGGTGGCCATGGCTGCATGAGGAGGGAGTCCGTATGTGTTTCTGACCACATTGTTCCTCAGTGCCACCTCCTGGAAACAAAGGGGTGGGCCCAGGCGGCACAGAGAGGGTTAAACTGACCTGGTCTCTGACATATTTGAAAGAAATATAATCAAGTTAATTCACTGCAAGGCAAATTCAGTACCTAAAGGGCCCCCATGTTAAATACAGCACTGACCTTTACCGGCTGATTACACAAAGACGACACAATTAGATTAGTCCAAGACAAAAGGTCAAGCACATTCACAGCCCTTTTTTTGGACTTTTTGGGGGGGGGGGGGGAATTACATCCCAGCTGGAGGGGTATCTTGGAGAGGAGGGGAATGGGGCTGCTGTACCATGTTCTGCCTCGCTCAGGTGTGTTTGGAGAGTCAGGGGGGACCTGAGCTGTGCTTGCCCTGAACCTTTCCTGTGCTGCTGGGCAATGTGGCAGTGGAAGAGACCAGCAGCCTGTGGCCCACAACCAGCTTTTCCAAGGATGGGCTGAGCTGAGCGGAGGCCATGTTGGTGATGCTCCCTGCCCTGCCCTGCCCAGAGCCAGCAGGAGCAGCCCCAGCGCCTCTCGCTCAGCGTCGTGGCTAAAAATCGCTCTCTGGAAGCTCAGTGGGCTGGGGTCAGCACTGAGAAGGGGGGTTGCTGGGGCAGTCGCTGGCTGTTCGGCTGGTGGGGTGCATGCATGTCTCCCCACCCTGCACAGCAGTAACCCTGAGGTGTCCCGGTCCCTGGTGGGGTGGGGACAGCGTGGGAGGCAGTGGGCCCAGGACACGGTGCTGGGAAAGCAGCCCGTCTCTGCAGGCACAGAGCTTTTCCCCCACCCCGGGGTGTTTGCAGCGGGAGTAGCAGAAATGGCAGTGCAAACAAGCAGTTCTCCATAGAGCAAGCGCAGCGGTGCTTTGCGGTGGCCTTTTCCTCCCTCGTGTCCTGCAGCCCTGGCTGTGGGTGCTTGCGGATGACACCTTGCCCTTCCCCTCGCCGAGGCCGCTCCAGCGGTTTAACCCTGCCACGCCAGCCCTGAACTTCCGAGTTCGAGTGTGTGCTTTGCCACTGAACTGCTGGGGGCCCTTGGGGGAATCATTTAATCTCCCTGCTTCAGATTCCTCTGAGTAGGAGAATCCCTTTGTGCTGTCTAGCACTGCCCGTCCGTGGCACTCCACATGTTGGATTAAGCCTGGATTAGTTCAGCCTCCAAACCAGCTGCTCCCCTGAAGCCAGGTTTGTTTCCCTGGAGAGAAATACCTTGCTCCAGATGTTGGAGGGAGTGAGTGGCAAAGCCAGGAATAGGACTAGGAGTCCTGACTCCTGAGCCCCTGCCTGGCATGCCTGCATTCCTTTCCAGGAATCGGTGTGAAGGCTAACCAGGGTCCTGAGATACTGGTTGTGGCAACAGCTGGCTGCCCGCATCCCCCTTGGCCAGCGGTGGGGATGGGGGACAGCTCAGCAGGGTATTTTAGCCCAGGTTAGGAGAGGTGTCTGCCTGTCTCGGGGGCACTGTTCTGCCATGCCATGTCCACCGCATCCCTCCTACCCTGGCTGCCTGTCCACCCTCTCCTAGGGGCTGCAGTGCCCATCGCTGACCATTAAAGCCAAGCTGGGATCCCCCCAGTGCTGTCTGCCGCTGACCCCGGTAGGGACTTTACTTGGGGCCTTCGGGAGGTGAAAGGTGAGCCGAACTCGGAACAAATTAGTTCCAAGCAGAAGTTCAGCCAGTTACTCCAGATTAGATCCTTTGATTTCCGCAACTCAGACTCCACTCAGTGATCTGTAATGAGTGACTCTCAGAAATCCTCACATTGCAGCACTTTGTTCCTGAGCTCACAAGTCAGCCCATTAATGGGTAAAGGAAAGGACCTTGAGTCTAAGAAGTCTCGGGTTCAGAGTCAGAATTATTTGACTTTTAAGCTTCCTTTATCTGAACTCCTGCTGACTTCTTGTTTTCTGAGCCTGTTTGAAAGCTAGAAGTTACATTGTTAAGATCAAACATTCTCTCTTTCCAGATGGAGTTACAATATCTGTCTTTTATATATATATATATTTTAATATATATATAGTGTGTATATACCAGGGTGTATATATATTCCTTTTTTTTTTAATCGTTCTTTCCATTAAAAGAAACTAGACTTGTAGGCTCTTGTAAATTATAATGTAAAACATTTTTTTTAACCAGACAGTTCCCAATTTTGCCCAAGGCAACTGGAATAGCTGCGCCACAGAAGGCAATAGGAAGGTGATTAATATGAATTTGTGACATATTTGAAAGATGGGTCTTTTGCCATATAAAGATTATCAAACACATGTGCTCTTCCCCATTAATTCCGCAGCCCTCCCAGGAAAGCCACAAAGCCCAGCTCCTTTGTTTCCAGGGTGGGTTTTTGTTTTTTAAAATGTACCTTTCGGTCCCCTTGATTACCATGTATTTGATTTTTATAGGGCATCTGTTCACACTGCTGTGTGGGTTCTCTGGCCCTTTTATTTCCCCGTTAATCGGATCCCGCCAAGGCAGCCGTGCCAGGGCCTCTGACGAAATCTGTGTGTGTGTTGTATTTAACTTTTAGCCGTGCAAATTCCATGCTCTGTTTGCCGTCTGCCCAGCGCCCAGCGGGAACTGGGGGCCGCCTTCCCACCGGGGGAGGCAGCGGGGCCTCCCACCACGCACGCTGCCGCCGGGAGCACACGCTTGTGGGACTGGCAGGGCCGGAGGAGCGGGGATGGGCAGGCCTGGCTCATTTCGGAGAGCTTGTCAGTACTGCCGTGTCCATCCCCTGGGTGCTTGCCGGCCGGGGCAGTGGCTCTGCAGGCCCTTGGGGACAGGGGATGGCTGCAAGGCTGGGCACGGTGGGTACCTGGCCGCAGTCCCCGTGCCTGTGCAGCGTGTCCTGCAGAGCCTCTGCTGCTGCTGTCTGCGGCGCTTTGCGCAAAGCGGACCCGATCTCACGCTGGGTGGTGGCAGCCCAGGGCTCTGGCGCTGCGTGCCCCTGCGGCCCCCAGCCCACGGGGTACCCGGTGGCTCTGGCGTGCCTGGGCACAGAGCCCAGCTTTGGGTGCTGAACCCGCCGCGCTCTTGGCCGTAGCATCTGTGCATCACCTGACACCAAGTCTCACTGCAATGCAGCAACATGGCTAGGGTCACAGTCCCCGTTTGGTGCGAATCGCCCCATCTTTCCGACGGCCGGATTCAGCCCTGAAACCTGGTGTGTGACGGGTGAGGCTCACCGGAGCCTGCCAGTCTCACTCAGGAGTATCGGTGTGCGCTGCCCAGAAAAGAGGTGGGGCTTTTGAGGAGCCCTGGTTCTCTGTCAGCCTCTTGCTCTGCTCCTGGGCCACCTCACGGCAGGTCTGGATGGCGGAGGAGTATTTCCAGGCTCTGTCCCACGCTGAGCATCTGCGGCACAGCTGGCCGTAGTGCAGAGCTGCTCTGCCCCTCTCTCAAGGCCCTGTGCCTTAGGGCTTACTGCATGCCAGCTTGCTTGGTCAGGGCTCCCGGGGCCGCTGGGTTGTTGCAGAGCTCAGCCCCTTTCTCCTGCCCACTCCCAGACCCTGCACCGCAAAGATGATCATCCCAAAGCCCCTGTCCCTGTCAGGGAGGTGACATCCCCTGCACTGCTGTGTTACCTCTGTCCCTCCCATCATGCAAGGGCCTGGCTCTGCCTTCAGCTGGGCGGATGGCAGCGTAGCTCATTGGGCACTGCTGGGTGTGATGCCGGAGCCCACACCGGAGCCCTGTGGCCGGCTCCGGGACAGGTGGTTGTGTTTTCCGTGTGACCTGAGCGCTCCCACCTCCTGACCCTGGTTTTTCTTTTGTTTCCTGTCTCCCTCTTGGAGCAGAGAAAGCGAAGGGAGTCGGCCTCCAGCTCCTCCTCCATCAAGAAGGCAAAGATGCCGTGAGCCCCCTGCGCTGGGCGAGGAGGAGGTGCGGAGCTGTGTGCAGGGTCACTGCTGTCCCCTCCCCGAGCCCCCAGGGACAGCTGGCTGCCTGCAGCGATGGCGCAGGACAGGGGCCTTGCTGGGGCAAATGCTGCAGCACTTGAGAGAACAGCGGGAGCCATCCCCTGCCTGGCATCATGGCCCAAGCTCCATCTGCCCTCCGGAGCGGTGCAGCCTCCAGGCACCTGCAGCCGGTGCTGGAGGATGGCCCTGGGGCTGTGCCGGGCTCTGCCAATGGCTGCTGCTCCGTCCATGGCTGTCCCATGGCTGCCATCGCTAGTTGCGGTTTGTTCTGGTGGGGTTTTTTTTGTTTTTTGTTTTTTTCACATGCCAGATTTTCTGGAGCTTCCCTGTAAATACAGAACCCGTCACTTGTAGCGGAGCAGAGTCATCATTAGCCCCGGCGAGCCTGTGTGGAGCAGGAGGAGGCAGTGCAAGCCAGCTTGCCTCCCCGCTGGGCAGGCTGGGTGCTGTACTGGGAGCCCTGGCTGCCGGTGGCTCTCCCTGAGCCTGTCCACCTCGGTCACGGGGCTGCAGCGGGGGATGCTGCAGCCCCTGCTGCCTTGCTCCGGGCTGCTGCAGCGCTGCTTGCGCTGGGCTGTGGAGCTCCCTCCGGCATCCCATATGCCCGGCCCTGCTCTCGCTGCTCTTCTTCGACAGCTCTTGCGTGCCCCACACCTGCAAGCACTGCCTCGCCTGGGTGAGGGGTTGCCCCTGCCACGAAACACTCCTGTTGTCCCCAGCACTTGCTTTCAGGCCCAGGGCAGGGGGACACCTCTGGCTTCAGTCTGTGGTGAGAGGGGCCTCTGTGTCCCATGTTTTGTAGGGCCTTGGAAGGGCTGAAGCATTGCTGGTGCCAGCGATGAGAGTCTGGCTTCGTGTACTACCTCTGTGGCCACCATGGGAATGGGTGGCCACGGCTGCATGCCCTGCTCCGGGCCACTGCCCGCCTGCCCACTCCATGTCCCCTCCGCACTGCCTTTCAAGTGTAACTGGCAATCGATCTGCCGTGACAACGTCCTCTGAGTCACATTCTCGCCTGCAGGAGTAAAGGGCAAAGGCCAAGTTCTTAGTTTTCATAGAAAACTAATTAGACGACTCCATCGAAAATAGGTCAATAAAGCTGATCAGGGGCTGCACAGAGGGAGCCATTAAACACCCCGTGACCTTTGCGTGGAGCAAGTGGGCTGGGGCTGCCCCTTCCCTCCGGGAGCTGCCCGCTCCATGCCAGCTGGACGGCCGCATCCCTGTCACCCAGCGGCACTGTGGCACTGGGCAGGGGTCCCTTAGGCACGTGGACGTGGTGGTGTTCCCTGCACGGCTCGTGCAGTGCAGTGCGTGATGGTGCTGTGCTCACACTGGCTCTGCTGCTGGGGACAGAGCGGGCGTCCCCGTGCAGAGCCACGCTGGCTCCAGCCTGTAGTGGAGATGCTCTAAGCGCGGTAGCGGCTGTGCGGGTACAGCGCGCCGGGCTGCAAGGTGGGATGACATATGCTGGTGGGACACGGTGGTGGCTGTCACCCTCCACCGGGCAGGAGGCTGGGTGACACTGCTGGGCCCACCCGCGGTGCCCACGCTGGAGAGCGGGATAGTGCTCCCAGCAGCAGGGAACCCAGACCTCCCTTTCACAGCCAAAAAAAAGTTTGCCTTTTTGGGGAGCAGGGACATGCTGGGGTGCCATACCCCAGTGAGGGCAGCCCCACTGGTGGGGGACCCCGCTCCTACGTACCCAGGTGGCACACCCCCATCTCTGCCCTCCCCGCAGACACTCGCACATGCATGGGCACAGCCCGGGCTCCTTTACCCCCAAACTTTATTCATGTGGCACATTTACAGCAAGGATTGGAATAACTAGACAATGAAAATGCTGGGTTTGCATTATCGGTTGGTTTAACTGGAACACCACACACCATGCAGTCATGTACCGCCAAGTTCAGTGCCTGTATTGCCCTTCTGGCTGCCGTCACCGGCTTCGCTCCAGGCCATGCACGCACGGGCCCGGGGCTGCAGCCTCCCTGCAGGTCAGCGCCCGGACGAGGGCTCCATTCAGCAGGGCCCCGGGCCTGGGTGACACCGGGGGTGGGGTGGGGAACGCACGCCCTCAGCCTGCCCCATGGCTGCTCCC